GTTCCTTTACGTAGGAAATTGAGGAAGTCGTTGAGTTGAATCTAATATCAATAGTGTTTATAAGATTCAGAGTTACTGTACACGCATCCTGGTGCAAAAGTTTTATATTGATATAACAGTTATCAAACCAAACCCTGTCTGCCACATAGGCAGTAAGGCATATGGTATCAAATTTTTCTCTCCCTCTTTTTTTTTTTTTTTTTTTAAAAAACAGTGCATACACTGTACTATTCATTGTATATATCACTGTAGAGACAGGCCTCAGCTGCAAAATTCAGATCCTAATATAAATTTCCCCCAAACTTGAGGGGTCTTCAGTTCTGGGTTTTGGTTCAGGCCCCACCTCAAATATAAATACATACATAGGGCTTGTCTTCACTACAGTGTTAGTCCCAAGTATAACTCAAGTACTGCCCCCATCCCAACTCCTGTCCACACACAAAAACCTCCAATTTGAATTAAGTAGTGCTTTAAACTCAGGCTAGCTTGCAAGGTTATGGGCTGAATCATGAGTGCTGCTGCTAACTGAGCTAGTAATGGGGATGAAGCTACGGACTGGTTTAGCACAACGAATAACTGCTAATAGAACAATTCTGTGTAGTGTTGTTTCACAGAGTGGCCACTCTCACTTGAGCTAACTGTTGCAATGAAGTCAAACCCACAGGTGCTTATTAGCAAAAAACAGTAATTACAAATAAAATTATACCTCTGTACAATGCAGATGAATTGGCATTGTTGTGGAAGCTTAATTTTTGAATGGTCTGTTGTATGTGTGTTCCACATTGCTCAAAATGACATCCTTCTTTCATTGTACCAAATGCTCTGTCTCCTCCAAATTCTTCCTCAAAAGTCACTGCTTTCCCCTCGCTTTCCACAAGTGACCTCCCTTCCCATACTATATACCCTGATCTGCCACATTCTCAATTAAAAATATAGATTATAAGCTTCATTCAAAATATGATCCAATTCTCAGTATCTTTGTTTACTCTTGGCCTACTGTGTCCTTTGTTGTCTTCATTTTCTGTTTGTTTGATATAGATTGTAAAAATTTTGATCTCAAAAGCCCCATACAAAGTTCCAATGTTACAACATATTTCTTATAAAATATACCTAGTGCTGTGTTAAATGTGGTTTAATTTATGTGCTACTTGGAAGGATGTGTATTTTATATTGGTGTGAATCAGAGAAACTATCCAAGACAGGTGAGTGACAACTGGGATTTCATCGTCCAGAACTGAGAAACATCTGCTGTCCATGTTTTTTTGCTTCCTGGTCTCACATCATCCTCTCCCTGACTATTTCACACAACTCCCTGTTCCTCAAACCATCATTTATCCTCTACCCCGGGCTACTCCAATATCATAACCTACCCTCCACTCACACACGTCACCCCCTCCCCCTATAAATCCCTCCTCTCCCCCCGCAGGGGCTACCCCAATCCTGTGTCCTGCCCCCCATACAGCCCACCCTCCTCCCCCAGGGCTACCCCAATTCCGTGCCCTGCTCCCCCATACAGCCCCTCTCTTCCCCCCTGGGGACGAACCCAATCCCGTGCCCTGCCCCCCATATATCCCCTCTCCTCCCCCGGGGCTACCTCCATCCTATATCCTGCCCCCCGTATATCCCCTCTCCTCCCCCGGGGCTACCCCCATCCTATATCCTGCCCCCCCATATCCCCTCTCCTCCCCCGGGGCTACCCCCATCCTATATCCTGCCCCCCCATATCCCCTCTCCTCCCCCGGGGCTACCCCCATCCTATATCCTGCCCCCCCATATCCCCTCTCCTCCCCCGGGGCTACCCCCATCCTATATCCTGCCCCCCCATATCCCCTCTCCTCCCCCGGGGCTACCCCCATCCTATATCCTGCCCCCCCATATATCTCCCCCCTCTCCTCCCCTGGGCCACCCTAACGTGTACCCTGCCCCCATATAGCCCCTTTCCCGGGCTACCCCATGCCCGGCCGCTCGGTCCCGTGGCTACCCGGTACCGGCCCTGACCGAGCTGAGGCCCCGCCCCGAACCCAGGAAGCGTCTCACCTCCCGCGCTGGGAGCACGGCCCCGCTCCCTGCCAGCCCCTCGCCGCCGGCTCGGGGTGCCCCCGGCGCTCCGCTCGCTGCAGCCGCCCGCCCGGCGCTGTGCGCGCGCTTCCGGGTGCCCCGGTGCCGGTCGGTCCAGCTCCACAAAGGCCCCGGCTGCAGCCGCTGCCCCACTTGCTCCGTTCCCAGGACCCGGCGTGCGGCGTCGCTGGCTCCGCTCTCGGCTCGGTCTGAGCCCGCTCGGCCCCGGCTCGCCTCGTGCGCCGCAGGAAGGGGCTGGGCTGCCCCGCCCCGGCTCGGCCAGCCCGTTGCTGCGGGAGGAGTCGGTTTAGGGCAGCGTCAAAAACAGGAGCCAGGGCTAGGTGCGGTGTGTGTACGTGTGGGGCACAGGGGCCTGTCGGTGTCTAGCTCGGGGTGATGGGGGGTAACGGGCTGCGAGGTCAGTCCCCAGCACTCGTACAGGTGTTGGGGCAGAGACAGCGTGATTCTGGTGATACAATCTGCCTCCCCCCACAGGTACTAAGAGAAGAGGGGGCAGGCCAAGCACACGTCTGTGCCAAGCCCTGTGAGTCAGAGCGCAGGGGAACAATACTCCGAGCCAGGGAGGGGAGGTCATGGCCTGGGAGAGTGATGGAAAGTCAGCGAGGAGGAGAGAAAATGTAACCCATGCTGTAATACGATTAGGGGGTGAAAGTAACCCAGTACAGGCCCCGACGGCGTACCGGTAAAAAGTAGCCACCAGTAGCTGCCCCTTTTGCACCCCCTGTTGGCGGCCCTGCCAGATCCCTAGGTCCCTGCCAAAGGACCCTGCTTAAAGTGCTTTAAATCGCCACTGGAGCCCTAGGTGGGCTGGGTGGAGGAGCCCGCCCCATACCAGTAAGTGTTGAGTGTTACTTGCACCCCTGAATAAGAACTTTGTAAACGTAGTGACTTGGCAGTGCCCCAGTATGTTAAAGTGAAAAAGAAAAAATACATGCTAAGGAAGAACCTTCCTCTCTCTGTCCATTGTGTGTTGTCCCTCTGTTTGGATGGAAGCCTCCAATTCATAGGAACGATAGTTTGTTGTATGCTTTTCACAGCAGTAAGCATTTAACATCATAATAATATCCAATGATTCACTTGTCCATGTGTAAAGTGTGACATACATGGTGCTTACACATGCTCAACATTGTAATTCAAGGAAATAAGGTTTAGCATTGAAGGCACAGTTAGTAACAAGCTCTTTTGCATAGAAAAAAAAAATCCCAGACTTTGTAAATGTGTAATATGCAAAAATGTGTAACTAAGAGTGAAATAGTTTTTGCTTTTTTTAAAAAAAAAATTGAACTACTGAACTGAAATTCCATGCTGGACAGGAAAAACCAGTCTGGCCTCACAAATATGCCAAGTTTGGCAAACCTGTTTGGTTTGGTTCCACCTTTTAATTGTTCTGGGGAGCAGGGATAAGAGGAGGAGGAAATAAACTGTAGATTTAATGGGAAGAAATCATAAAACAGACGCTGAAAGAAATACACCTAAAACATCAGCCATAAGCCATCAGTTAAACTTTGTGCAATCAAAGTCTGACTGATTTCCTAAAATTTCAAGCTAACACTTTTCTTCTAGTTGTGTGCACACTAAAGGAAGTTTTAGAAAGATTTCTCGCTGTTGCTAGTACTGATTCAGCTCTAGCAGCATTAACACTGTTGGTATTTGTACAGTGGGCCAGCCAATACTGACATTGTAATAATCCATCTCTCTAACAGAGTACAGTAGATGACACTAGAAAGCGTCAGCAGCAGCAAACAGCCAGTCAACACTGAAGTTTTCAGTGTCAGACAGTGGGAAAGGTTTGCAAACTTTCTCTAAGGTAGTACTGAGCAAATGTCCTACTACGTTGTTAAGGGACAGGAAATGCCATATTTCAGATAACACAAAACCAAGGATGTGACCACTTGTTAAACAGCACATGGCTGCTTTTTTTTTTTTTTTTTTTTTTTTTTGCAAGAATAAAGATGTAAGCCCTGGTGTCATGGCCAAGTTCCAGTTTGGGTAAATACTTTTTGCCCATCTACTTCCCCACACTTAAATTGAATTCAGTAGTCTTTACTTCCCAATCTAAAAGTGTTGTGCAATTTTGCTCTATGGGGTTATGGCTACTCTATTCACAAGAGGATTTAATGACATGATCATGTATATGTGGTTTTGTCTATAATTCTGTAAAGCACTTTAATGCTTCTGAAAAGTGCTATAGAAAATAATAATCCCAGCAAGTACTTGGAGCAAAGTTTAAGTCCCACTGATTTCCACAGCTTTCTTCATGACACGTGCATAGTCTGGTTGTTAGAGTTGCAGCCTTGATGCTCATTGTACCCAAAGAATAGTTCTGACTCAATTTCTTTCCCATCTAGAAGTGGCAGCCCAAAACTCCTAGCTAACTATAGAAACTGCTCAGATGATCATATCTATTGGTGGGTGTCTTGTGCGAATGGAAAATAATTACAGAAAATTTTTAACAGCTGAACAAGTTTTATTAGAATAAGGAAAACAATATTCTATATAAAGCCTCTCTTTTTCTCTTATTAATTCAGTGTAGAGATTCACTCCAACTATCCCATGTTACCTTTGTTCCTGCTATTGATTTGGAGACAAAGCCATACAGAGAATACTTTAGAAAAACCTTGTAATAAGGGAAAATTATGGTATTTTTCTCTCAAACATCACTTCACCCAAACTCATAATTCTCAGGTCCACATTATTTACACCTACAATCCTTGCATTTTCACTCTGCCCACACTTAGTTATCATATGTTATGAGTTTCATAATTCACATAAAACTGCTCACAAGTATTATACCAAAAACAGTTTTAAAACTAATTTTTTTATACCTCAGAAAAGTGATGAATGGCAAGACATTGTATGGACTCAATGATAGATATTGCACTGCTGCAATAAAGTTATGCAAATGAACACTACACAGGATATTGTATTTTAGATAACTATTTTATTGTATATATAAATCTGTTTTAAAGATATGCACTATGGGTCAAATCTAGGAGTTCTTATTCAAGCAAAACTCATTTTGAGTGAGTAATGACTTCAGGATTTGGTTTGATAATATTAAGTATTTATGGAATGCTGACAGTGTGCTCTGTACAGAACATAGGGGGAAAAAACAGCAATGGGTGAAATCCTGGCCCTATTGAAGTCAATGGCAAAATTCCCATCAACTTCAATGGGGACAGGATTTCATCCATGTACCTACTTAGGAGGTTTACAGTGTGGATATAGTTTTAAGTGCTTTAAGACTACGTACAACTTCTATAGGTCTTGGATTAATTTCTTTTAAAGTGTTTTAGGTGCATGTGGTTAACATTCAACCTATTTTAAAACATACCATGCTGTTGGAACTAGGACAGTTGTACACATCTGTTAGAGACAGTACAATAAAGATGTAATTTATTAAACACCATTTACCTGCTGCTAGGAATTTATTGCTTGGAAGTGAGTATGTTAACAGGTTACATTTTAAAACTACTAGCATTTGCATTTTCTGGGTGTAATCTGCATCTTCCCAGATTCCATATCCAGCCTTTCAAAGGCAACACTTCTGAACAGAGCTCCAAGGGAAAACACTGCTAAAAGATGCTATATGTAAAACTTTGTTTCCTTGAAATCCTTGCCAGTCAAAGATGATGTTTCTCTCAGACTATGTCTGCTGCACATCAATACTATTTTATGGATCTCAATATCATTCTTGAGATTAAATTTGACAATAAATCAGGTCTTGTAGTTTAGGCAAAATACTTGCTGAAAGAGAGCTGATACAGAGATACTAGCAGTTTCAGTAGCCAGAGTAATTCTCAAACATTCCCAGAGTGGGTGGGTTTTCACCAGTTCCAAGGTTATTAGCCTTCCATAGCTTCTTCCGGGCTACACTCCCTACTAAGGCATTAGGTGGAGTGTGTCCAGATCTGTGGTTTTCAAACTGTGGTCCACATACTATGTCTAAGATTTCCAAAGGGTCTACACCTCCAGTTTGAAATCTTTTTTAGAGGTCTGCAAATGAAAAAAGGTTAAAAACCACTGGTCTAGACACACGGTGTTCTATTTTAAGTATCAGAAGGTCTCCCTTCAATGGCCTTTTATGGAAGAGGTGGAATATCCAAAAGTTTCACTGCAATAAGAAATTTGTGCATTGCAAGATTGACACTTAGTTCTAGTTTAATTACTATAATAGATTAAGAGTAATGGTCCAACACTGCTTTTCTGTTCCACTGAGGCCTTTTTATACAAATTACAGGATTGGCTTTATGTAATGACGAGTGAGAGCCTTCAGCTTTCACACATGACAATCTGCAATCCCCCCTCCCCCCCCAGGTTAATAGCCATGTGGTTCCAGATATCTGAGAGGCTGGATTCACAATTAGATCAGATTCAAATCAAGTATTCATCACATCAGTTAGAAATAAAAATTAATATAGTTAGGGCACAATATCTCCTTTTCAAATGATGCCTAAAATACTGAAAAATAAACCAGCATATACTGTAAACTAAAAAAGGTAGAACTAATCAAAAGCGTGGCATATTAACCATACATAATGACATTACAACAAACCAGCAAATTATATATTCAACGTTGACTAGAATTTTGTACAGAAAATTAATCTGTTATTACAGAATACGCTTTGTGGTCTCCAGTCACATCTTCAGATGTTCACTTGGGCACAACTGAAGAAGAGATGGCAAAGGCACTCAAAACACTGAATAGTAGCAAAAGGCCAGGGCTGGACTGTGTCCCAGCAGAGCTCTACAAAGAACAGAAATACATGTTACTCATTCTCAGAAACAGCCAGGCAATGAGGAACAATTTGATAAATCCGAAGCAAAGAACAATTTTATTCATTGTGATTCTCAAAGCATGGTAAATTCCAGAGAACTGCACTACTTATCTGTTCGCATTAATAAATGTTGACTGTGTGGTTTGGGTAGAAGTACTGGCTAGCCAGTATATTACATAAATAACTTTATGTGGTGGGGTAAAAAAAACAACAACTGTACGGGAGGAGTATGTGTGACAGTTAGCCTTTTTGGTTTGTCTGCAGAACTCAGAATCCGTGCACCAAATTCAGACTTGGTTTAAGGAGGTGCAGGCCAGAGATTCCTGTAGAGTTGTGTTCATTTATGCTGGGTTTCAATGGGGTGCTGTGTTCAGTTACCTGGCACTGAAAAGGAAATACTGGTCCTTTAAAGGCAGGGGATTCTGAATAATGAAATATTCCAATTATTAGACCAAATCTAAAAAATAACCACGCATTCAGTTTCTAAGTGGTAGGCTGAATCGAAGCAATACAGTGGGAATTCAGTATTTTGTATACTTCTACTCAAATTTGATGAGGCTATTATACTTCACTATAATGTTCAATATTCTCAGATATTTGTATGGACTAAAGGAACTCTGATAGATCCCTCATATCACAAACAGCCCTAATCAAAATTATATCAATATTTTCAATGTAAGCTGCATATTAGAAGAAAACAGTAAAAGCTATAAGGGAAGAGTGCTTACTCTGTAACCACCTTCTGAGGAATATGAGCCCTGTTTAAAAAAAAATGGAAACAGTTATTTCCTCCCACATGTAAAATGGTTTTTAAATTATGGTATGAGGGTTTGACTATTCTGAGAAAGTGGTTTGAAACTGCTGTAATCTCACAAAGACAAAGTTGCATGGACATAAAATGGAGCAGTGAATCAGGCTCACTGACTTTATCTAAAAATCCTTGCTAAATGGAATGAAAGAACATTTATTTTGTTTCCTTTCATTCAGCTACCTTACATTACACACAGGCCTGGTGTCCACAATTCAAGAAGGATGTTGAAAACCTTTGAGAGGGTTCAGAGAAGAGGCATGAGACTGGTTGAGAAGAGGCATGAGACTGGTTAAAAAGATTAGAAAACATGGCTTACAGTAAAAGATTCGAGGTGCTCAAACTAAACAGATATCAAAAGAAGATAAGGTTAAGGGATGACTTGATCATAATCTGTAAGTACCTACACGAAGAACAGAAATTTCATAACTGCTTCAGTCTAGCAGACAAAAGTGTAAACAAAGTATAATGTGTTTAAAAAAACCTTCTGTGATTGTAAGTCTGTGAGGAAAAGCAACCTAAAATTTATTTGTGCTGGCCCTCTGCACTGGTGTGAATTCCACCATTACATGAGCCAACTACTGTGAGCTACATGGTCTTAATACACCGCACAAAAGTCTGGCTACAGTAAGATTAAAAACCCAAGTATTTCAGAACAGCAGCCACTATTTTTTTTTTCTGCAAGGAGACCAAGCTATTTCATTCTGGTTAATGAGAAAGGAAGCTGTTGAATCACTCTGAATTTTCTCAAAAAGAAAAGGAGTACTTGTGGCACCTTAGAGACTAACCAATTTATTTGAGCATGAGCTCACGAAAGCTCATGCTCAAATAAATTGGTTAGTCTCTAAGGTGCCACAAGTACTCCTTTTCTTTTTGCGAATACAGACTAACACGGCTGTTCCTCTGAAATCTGAATTTTCTGTCAGATGTGATTCCTTATATGGGATTACTATAGTATCATTATGGTTTGAAACTGAAGGAAGTCTTCAATAAAATATCCCATGCCACAACTATAGGTGCCGTTCAAACAACAACCATGCCTCGGAGTATCTTCTCATGAATGTGCTGCAGTCTTTGTACTTTAGGTACTTAGACTGATACCAGGAATATAAAGTTCTAATTACAACTCTATTATTACATGAAAAGATGGTGCCTACAGACTGAGCATGCAGACCTGGAGTGTGCCTGCATCATATGGGAAACCCTCTGGTGATTATGCATGACTAGTTTGAGCGAGAGAGAGAGAACTACATTATGCTACGCATGTGTTGATTTACTGTAATGGCTCCCCATTGTGATGTGCAGCATTTGTGTTGCTATTCCACTGCAGAGTAGTAACATCCAGTATTCTTATGTATTTTTTTACTCAGAGTAAAGTAATTCTTGAACATATTTCTCACAGCAGAACTGATATCCAAATGATATCTATTATTTTCACTTTCCTGGAAGAAAGTGGTAAATACTATGGGGAAAACAGGACTTACATCTCCACCAAACTAGTTTCCTCCTGAAGGTAATCCCTGTAAAGAGGTACAAACCAGTTATTTTAGTGTAAAAGATCGTCTTTAACTATAGTCCAGTTTGAGGAACAGATATTTACTTTATTTATACTTTCCTGCTTAATGGAATGAAAACAAAAACAGGAGAGTGAAAACACTACTGTGTTTCCCTTCATTCCACAACCCTACCTTAGAACAACACATTAAAGTAGAGTGAGAAACGTAAAGTAGCCTTACCTGGCTATTGGAAGCATTGTTGAATGAGATAAATGCTCCACCCTTTAAAGAAACCAGAAATGAGTCAATTTCTTGTGAAAAGACTTGATTAAGTGCCATACTTCATTCAGGGTTAAAAAAAAACAGAGAGAGGACCCCAGTCTGTGCTTAACTGCTTAGTGAAGTGTAGGATAAGCAGGGAATGCACAGTCTCTTTCGTATTACTTCACTCCAGCAATTTACAGTCTTTACATGAAGGTTCTTTGAAAATTTAAGTTCAGTGGATGTTGATTGGTTTACACCACAACAGGAGGAGAAATGAATGATTGTTTTTCTGTTAAAAGTTCTCTTTGAACAGTAGCCAAAATGAAAGACAGCTCATGTCCTGCGATGGAGTAAGTATAATGATTAGACAGGCTTTTAACAGCTGTGGAAGTATGAAGGATGGGGATTCTAAGGAAGATGAGATAACTCCTATAGGAGTTTAGATCTGATCAGAAAGTGACATTCCAAATCAGTTCATCATCAAATAACTTCAGTCCCTGTGTAACCATGTTCACTGTACAACACAAGTGGAGGTAATTTCTGAAACTTGAATGTTCATTCACTAGGAAGCTCTTTGGGGGGAGACTTTAAATTCAGTAGAGAATGTGTCATTACCTCGACATTGGCACTAATGCTGTTTGTGCTAGAGGATTCGTTCTGTAAAGAAAACAAAAATGAGTAATTTCTCTGTGAGAAAAATTATACCACCATCATTTTACAAGAAGATTTCCCCCACAATGTAGTTCTATACTGGTTTAGCGGCCAGATTTGCACTCTTGTTTGCCAATAGTGCATATTGGGTTCTCCACGCATATGCACACACAACAGTCTATCTAGCATGCACTTGTAGCAGGAAGTGCTCTGTCTCCACTGGATGGATCTGCCTCTGAGCTCTTTGTGTCATTAACAATATGTATTCTGTTCTGAGGGTTCATCACATAAAAGAGACTCTGAATACTACTCTCTTGGTGTACATCACCTTGGGTCTTTTATCCTGAAAAACTACTACTTGTCAGGAGACATCTTATGGAAACAGGTGAATATGATCCAGTGACCTTGTACTCTTTCTCTAGCCACTAGTTTAGGGGACAGCTAGGGGGTGGAATAGTCACAACTCTGAACAACGTACGTTTTGCCAGCATATGTGGTACTGTAGACCTAGCTTTAGCGTATGTCTACCCTCAAAACTGCTAGCATTACAACAGCTTTACTCTGAGACAAAATTCTGGGAAAAAATGACCGGTATTGCTTTACCTGTCCATTGTAACTGCTTCTGCTTAGAGCATGAGCTGTATCCTGTAAAAAGACAATGAAATGAGCTAGTAACCCATGAAAATTTTGACATGTACATTCAGGCACAATGCCTCATTTTGGGCTATATTTTTATTTGTTCTGATATCCAAAGACCTTTTGGCCTATAAATTAAATGGTATAATACATAATTATAATACAAAGCCTTATTTGTACATAATTCCCAGGTCCACACCTCCCATGTTTGTTGAGTGCAACAACTGTACAGCGTTCCTGAGCACTGTTTGGATGAAATAATTCTATTCCAGTTTAATGTCCACTAATTTCAGTATATCCCAATTCTGCAAGATGAATGGAAACTAAGGGTGTCCCGAACCCCGCAGCAGGACCTTACAAAATCAGGCCTTCTCCGAAAACTAACTCTCTTTACAGTAAAATTACTCTTCAAGTAAATAAACCAAGTGTTCATTTTCTTAGAGGCATACTAGAGAAAATCCCCTAAATACGATGAAGAAAGTGTGCTTACCCGGGCAACGATAGTCTTGCTGCCTGCACAGTTGGATGAACTCTGTGAAAAAACCAGAAGATAGTTATTGTCTTGTAGAAGTAACAAGATAGTCCATTCACCTACACAAAGGTAAAATTCCCTGGGACAGATTCTGCCCAGATTTACCCTGGCTTCCACTAGGTGAAAGCCCAAGAGCAGAGCCCTGATGGGGTAAATGCAGCCATAGGAGAACTATTTTTTTTTTAAAATGGAATATATGTAGATTTAAATGAATGCTAACTCTGGGTGACACAAGAGTTTGATATGCCCATGTGCTGTGTGCATACGGAGTGTGAGTTCTTAGGGAAATATTCAGTCAGAGTACATAGGTTTGAGTACTATATGATTACTAAAAATTGAATTATTGTATGGTGCTAAAAAGTATTATGTATTTTGAACAACTGTGCAGCAGCATTGAAAGCTGGTTGAAGGGGTCAATACAGATCAATATAATTTCAAATAGCTTCAGTCTTTATGTAAACGATCAAATGAACGGTAAAAAAAAAACCCCATTCACCACACTAATGGCCCCGTAGGGTTTCATTTGACCATAGTTAAATAAACAGTAAAGATCATATACTATAAGTGTTGTCACACATATAATAGTTTAGAAATTCCAATATCAATTCAAATGTTGTTAGTTTTTGGGGGGGATTTAGAGACATTTTTCCCTTTGGTGTTTTCAGTGAAAACACTGCCGCACTGTGCTAGTGCCTAAGGAAAAAAGCAGTGTCTAGAAACAGAAGTGACCCTGGCTCGTAGTCTTCACAGCTGAATGAAAGGTGAAAATTAGGTGAGCGTATATAGAATGACAAGTAAATTAGTGCTCATTTACTCAGAGGAAAGTTGGGACAAAAACTTAGACACACTGGAGAAAAAAGTACTCACCTGACCACAAGCACTGCTACTGCTGCCTGAATTACTTTGTGAGCCCTGTAAAGACATCTGAAATCAGTTATTTCCTCATAACATGGGTTGCTTAAAGACAATGGACTAGATCTTGGGGCCTGTAGCTTGGAAGTTAAGGTCACACAAATAGAAAGCTTTGGTAGCGTAAAGAGTCCCTAAAAACTAAGGTTTGTGATAAGGAGTAAAATAAGACCTTAACAAGCAAAATGAAGAGCTATGTCCCTGGCTACTGCCATAGCTCTGAGAGGTCAATGATCCAGCCTTTAAAGTAAACTAAAAATCAATTATTTCTTAGTAAATTGGTTCACTATGATTTTGTTAAGGAAAAGAACCCTATTGATATTTATTTAGGGGAAGAAAGGATTAGGGAATGGTGAACACTGCAGACTTGATGATTATGTGACTTAAATATAAACTGAAAATAGTAAAAAGGTAAATACTGTGAAGCAATAAATGCTTTGTATTTTTTAAATGCTCCACACTGCCCTCATATGCCCAATTTTGAACAGTCTCCACAGAAACTATCACTTTTCAGTAAAAATTCTGTTTAAGTGGATGGCATGGAGAATGGAGCACTCCATGTCCTTCTATTGCATTAATACAGTGAATGGCCACGAGTTTGTCACACGTGAACATGGAAGCTTCAAGGAGGGTAATATTAATGAATGGTCTGAACTGAAGGTTCCAAGATGGTCAACATTCATCCTTGAGGAGGAACTCTGATCGACAATAGTAATATCTCCTTGGAATGCCAAAACTGACAATGGCGCATACCTGGGTCAGTCAGCAAGATGACTTTTCTAACTATAGGGAAATACAAAATGTATATCCAAGGATGGGTGAAATCCTGGCCCCACTGAGGTCAATGGAAGTTTTGCCATTGACTTCATTGAGCTCAGGATTTTATGTTCTTATGTTATAGTTTGGTTACTGGCAGAGACACTAATTTTATAGCTCATTACAACAATTTGTAACCTACTAACTCTCCTGTGTTCTAGGACTGCAGAGATGTTAACTGCCCACTTCATTTTATGTGATCTCCTGCAACATATGTTAACCTCTTATGCTTAACAGTCTTTTCCACCTTGTATATATCTGTGACAATGTTTACTGTTGTATCATTGGGGGCAGCAGTTTTAGGAAGAAATCACTTGAGACACAGAGAGCTGTAAACCTGAAAAGCAGCCATTTATTGCCACACACTGAACTAACCAAAACCAGCCAAAACTGGCTGGGCTATCCCCAAATAATCTAACTCAGTTGCTATAGCAACAAGAAGGTTCTATTACCACAACAACCAAATACACAACATATTCCTCCCCCCGTAAAAAGAACATCCCCTAAATAAAACAAACACTAAACTAGAGAAGGAGGGTAGACTGCTTCCGTTCCCCGCTAAACCCCAGGGATTATTTTGCTCCGTAACTGTGGGTTCGCACTAGCTAAAGATCCAGCCATTGAGGAGGCCTTCTGTCTCTAGGTGGATTACGGCAGACTTCTGGTGTTGTTGCACCTGAAAGTGTCTGTCTTGGGCGCAGGCCTGACAATGGGCTCAGGGTTCGTAGTGTGAATGGGTGAGGATGTGGTATCAGCTCGTTCCGGCCAGGGGGGTATCTCAGCCGCCGGCAGTAATGGAAGGGGACAGTCAGGAACAGGTTTCTCGCCAGAAGCGATGAAGTCAGGCAACTCAACTGAAGATGTGTCTTGAGGACTGGTATGACCGGGCAACAGCTGATCTGCATGTCACTGCCAGGTGAGATCCTTTCTGGTCCAGACTGTGTAGGAAACAGGTCCTGTTTGAGTGATGACCGTGGCAGGGATCCATTTAGCTCCAGAAGTATAATTCCGAGCCAAAACTGGCTGTCCTGGGCTAAAGGTTCAGTCTTTTGCTCTGGGTGCACACCTGATGACTTGATCTTGCTGCTGACGTTGCACAATTTGTCGGGGTTCAGAAGGTTGCAGCAGATCAAAGCAAGTGCGCAGCTGTTGTCCCATCATTAGAAAGGCCGGGGATGCCTGGGTCGTAGCATGAGGTATGTTTCTGTAGGATAGTAAAAAGTTGTCCAGACGCTTTTGAATGGATAATTGTCCCCTTGCCGATTTCAAAGCTTGTTTCATTGTCTGCACAAAACTTTGAGATAATCCATTGGTGGATGGATGATATGGTGCTGAAGTGATGTGGTGTATCCCATTTGCCTTCATAAAATTTTGAAACTCGAGAGACCAACTGCGGTCTGTTGTCACTCACAAGTTGTTCTGGCAGACCAAAATGACTAAAGAGTCCCTGTAGTTTTTGGATAGTACTCTCTGCAGTAGTGGACTGCAATATAGAGACTTCTGGCCGTTTAGAATGGGCATCTACCACCACCAAGAACATGCTTCCCTCAAAAGGGCCAGCGAAGTCAACGTGAATACATTGCCATGGGTTTTCAGGCCAGTCCCATGGGTGTCCCATTCCTCACATCCTGACATGACATACAAGCTCTTGCCCTCTCTTCTATAGCACTGTCCAATCCAGGCCACTAAAAATAGTTTCGAGCTATTTCCTTCATGCGCACTATTCCACAGTGACCGGAATGTAGCTGTTCTAACATCTGTGATCTCAGTGGTGGTGGGATAATGACATGTCTCCCGCACAACAAACAACCAGATTGGATCGATAACTCTGTCCTCCTGGACATGTAGGTAACTAGGTCAGGTGAGACTGGAGAGGTTCATCGAGATGTTCCATGCATCACCAGGTCCATAACTTGGGACAATACTGGGTCAACGCGAGTTGCCTTCTTTACTTAAGTAGCGGTGATGGGTGTATTCTCTACCTGTTCAAAGTAAAAGATTTCTTTCTGGGCAATATCTTGATGTTTGACTGGCAAAGGCAACCTTGAGAGATCATCCGCATTGCCGTGCAGAGTGGATTTCCGATATTTGATTTCATACGTGTGCGCTGAAAGCAACAATGCCCAACATTGCATACGACTAGCAGCTAATGGGGAAATGCCTGTGTGAGGTCCAAAAATTGAAGTCAGAGGTCGATGGTCTGTGAAAAGAGTAAACTTCTGCCTAAACAGGTACTGATGAAACTTCCGAATTCCGAAAACAGTTCCCAATGCCTCACGTTCGGTTTGGGCATAGTTAGTTTCAGCTTTGCTTAGAGTGTGTGAAGTAAAAGCAATAGGTCTCTCTTCTCCCAAAGGCATAAATGTGTGACACGACCCCTCCCACTCCATAAGGGGTGGCATTGCAGGCCAATTTTAGGGGTAAGGATGGATCAAAATGCGTCAGAACTTCAGAATTTAGCAGTGCACCCTTAGCTTTGTTAAATGCAACATCACAGGCTTCAGTCCACTTAGAGGCCTTGTTCTGCCCAAGGAGTTCGTGAAGTGGTTTTAGCAGTGTGGCTAACTGTGAGATGAACTTTCAATAATAGTTCAATAGTCCTAAAAACAAGCAAAGCTGGCTAACATTTCGAGGAGGGGGAGCCTCAACAATAGCCTTAACTTTTGCAGGGGCTTTACAAAGATCCATAGTATCAATGATGTCTCTCAAAATATTTAACAGAGGGCTGGAAGAATTTACACTTGTCTTTGCAGACTCGTAGGCCATACTCTTCCAGTCTTTGTAGGGTAGCCTCTAAAATTCTTTAGGTTATCCTCCTCATTTTGTGCAGTGACCAAGATGTCATCCAGATAGCACTGGACTCCTGGCAAGCCACACAAGATCTGGTCCATAGCCCTCTGGAACAGGGCAGGAGCAGACATTATTCCGAAGGGTAGGTGACAGTATCGATAAAGCCTTTTATGCGTCACAATAGTCAACAGCTCTTGGGACTTTTCATCGACATGCATCTGTAAATATGCTTGACTCAGATCAATCTTACTGAACTTTTGTCCCCCAGCCAGGCCCGCGAAGACGTCATCGATGCAGGGAAGCGGGTATTGCTCTGCACACAACACCGGGTTGACAGTGACTTTAAAATCACCACAAATCCAGAGGGAGCCATCTTTCTTCACTGTTTGGAATGATAGGAGTTGCCCCTGGGCTAAGGGTAACTGGTATAAGGACTCCATTTGTGACCAGGCACTCCAGGTCTGCTTCAACTTTCGGCCTGATGCATATGGCACAGTTCTGGCTTTCAGATATTTTGGTTGACTGTCAGGTTTAATGTTCAATGTCACAGTGATTCTCTTCATATTTCCCAGATCCTCTCCAAAAACAGCAGCATATTTCCTTAGTACAGCGGTCAGACCAGTTTCTTCTTTAGTCATTCGGTGCACTTCTGCCCAGTTCAGCTGAATCTTCCTAAGCCAAGACCTACCCATTAATGCTGGGTAATTACCTCTCACCACAAACAGTGGCAATTTAGCAGCCTGTCCATTGAGCTCCACCTTAACATCAATAGTGCCCAACATAGGCATGGCTTCTCCCATATACGTCTTCAGAACAGTTTTTGTTGCCTTAAGCGGAAGATGCTGTAGCTTTTCTTTATACACAGTCTCGGAGACCAGTGAGATGGCTGCACCGGTGTCCAGTTCCATGCGTATAGGTTTGCCATCCAACAACGGGGTTACCCAGTATTCCTGTGAGCCCACTGCCAAAGACAAAACGTGCAGTGGCACTTCTTGTGAAGAGGTGTCTCCTTGGTCGTCCTGGGTCTGCTCTAGGGTATGCAGGTTCCCCTTTTTGGTCGGCCAGACCACAGGCCTCTTTTTCTTTTGTTTACAGGCACACTCAGTGTGTCCCTTTTTTCCACAGTGTCAACACACCAGGTCCTTACACCAGCATTCTGATGGCTGGTGACCCGGCTTATCACAGCAGTTACATTCCTGACTCTCCATAGTTTTGTGGGTAGGTTCTTGTGACACCTTATGCACCCTAGGGGATGCACCCATGTATTGCGCCTCCTTTGTAGTCAGTTCCATGGAGACTGCAATATCAACAGCTTTCTGTAAGGTAAGCTGAGCCTCTGTCAATAGGCGCTTCCATATAGCTTCACTGTGCAGGCCACACACTAACCTGTCACGTAGGGCATCATTTAACATCTCCTTAAATTCACAGTGTTCCGCAAGCCTTTTCAAAGTTGCTACAAATTGTACAACTGTTTCGTCTTCTTTTTGGTCTCTTTTGTGGAACCTATATCTTTCAGCAGTTACCAATGGTTTTGGATAAAAATGGGAGCCCAGGATTTCCACAGTGTCATTGTAAGATTTGGAATCAGGCTTAACAGGGTGTAGTAAGCTGCGTAGCAGGGAGTAGGTCTTAGTCCCTACAACATTTAAGAATATTGGTACCTTCTTCTCTTCTGTAATGTCATTTGCAATAACAAAAAGCTCAAAACGCTCAGTACATATGTGCCATTGCACTATAGTGTCCTCAAAAGGTTCCAGCGGCCACGTAAGTGTAGCCATGGTTTTAGTTTCAGATTGCACAGTCAGTTCTCACCCCTTCCAACAGCAAAAAGGTTTTGTTGTTGTTGTTTTTTTGCACCTTGACTTCTACTTCCTTTTGTTGCTGGGGCAGCACAGGAATCCCATCCTCATCGCCACTTTGTTGTATCCTTGGGGGCAGCAGTTTTAGGAAGAAATCATTTGAGGCAGAGCTGTAAACCTTAAATGCTGCCATTTATTGCCACACATTTGAACTAACCAAAGCCAGCCAAAAACTGGCTGCGTTATCCCCTAATAATCTAACTCAGTTGCCATAGCAACAACACGGTTCTATTACCACAACAACCAAATACACAACATTTACCTTTTCTGAAGAAGAGCTCTGTGAAGCTCAAAAGTTTCTTCCACCAACAGAAGTTGGTCCAGTAAAAGATATTACATCATCCACCTTGTCTCTCTAGTCGCAAATAATGTAATTCAGCCTCTAATTTTCTGTACAACTTCATCCTTCAACAAAAATTCCCACACAACAGTGGGATACAATGCAAATTACAGTGAAGTTTTCCAGTACCAAGAGGCATGCTGGAATAAATTTCCATGCAGTAAGTGGAGCTTAAAAGGGTGCAACACAGGTCAGTCGGGGTGGTCAGTGCAAGGGAGTAGACCTGCACAGGTAGTTCCTCTCGGGGGACAGCAGAAGTCCCATGCTGCCTGGAACAAACCTCAATGGGGAGCTGCAGGCCAGCTCCAGAGAGAAAGCAGAACATCTGCCCATGGGTGAAGGAGTTGAGCTCCTGGACCCCTTTCAGTTGAGAGCATGTTGTGAATTGACAGTTGGCCCACATTGGGCCTCCAGTGAGACTGAATATGGTAGGAAGTGATCCAGGGAACAGGGTTGGTGATACTCTTTCCCCGGCTGCACGCCTGAACTAACAGTCCCAGGGCCCCGGGTTGGAACCTGGTGGACTGAGAGAGCCTGGATTCCCCTAATGCTGATCACAGACATGAGCCACAAGGGGAATTGTGAGCTAGTGCTCTCCCCACTAGGGGACACAACCCCCCTCCCAATACAGGGCCCTGGAATTCTCTGTCTTTGCTAATGTTCTATTCTCTGGTCACTTGTCTTTCAGCTCTCTGGTGCTGAGGAACTGCTTCACCAGCACCCAGCACAGTGAGGGTTCCTCTCTTCTTGTGCTTAAAATGAGTTTCAAAAATACTGTTGGGTATGGCTTCAGTGTAGTCACACTGACAGGGAGCCAGAAACACAGCTAAGTTTTTGGGTTTGGGTCCAGCAGAGGGGCCAAACCTCACTGCCTCAAAGGGGCAACGTTGGAGTTGGGGAGTGGGATCGCTGTGAAAGGATCCCCCCCCCTACGTCCTTCCCCACACCTCCTCCTACAGGTGGGAGAGGTGGATGATCTGGATCTGACAATTTAATTAAGTTAAAAAGAAACTTCCAAGTAAGTTAGGTGTTCTTCAAATTTTGCCCAAAATCACCTAGGCAGTTTAGCGGCAGAGTCAAATTCTCTAATGAGGTTTGTACACACTTTTCAGAGAAATTGTTTGCAGCATTGTTCCACCGTTTGAGAACAAGAAATTACATTTACAACAACACATTCCATTACTAAGAACCAGTTGAAGGCAAACCTTAAAAACCATGGAGAAAGGTTACTCACCTGGTGGCAGGGATTGCTGTCGTATGAAGTGCCCTGTGTAAAAAGACACCCAAACCATTCATTTCCTTGCAAAACAACTTAGCTTTCCTCCTGAAGCTTCTAGTCTCAACCTCTCTTTTTCATGATAAACTCCACTATATTCTTTTACCTAGTTTCACTATTACTACTTTGACCTCATATTTGACTCCCTTTTTCTCCTCACATAGCCAGGTTCTCACTATTCAATACAGAGTTACTGGACCTGAGGTCATTTCAAGTGTCCACATGGGGGAACAGAATTCGAAGGAAGGGTGGTCTTTGACCAGGAAACTACTAATTCAACTCTCATTCTTGAGGAGTCAGCCTGAGAGAGAATCTCTGATTATAGTTGTGTTAAATGCAGCAACGTTTCATTGAGACCTATTCACACATGGCTGTGTTTGTTTGTGATTTTAGAGGAGGGTAGAGAATCCGAATTCAGGTACTTATGAACTATATGGTTAATGATTACTCTCAAAATGGATGGGTCATTAACTGTACCTATTATTTATATACTAGTGTCTAACTGAGGCCATTGCTGTTCAGTACAGTAGCCAATGTCAGTCTCTCTGGTTCTCCGCACTGTATAATTTTAGGCACAACAATGGAAACAAAAAGCTCCTATTTCAGTTAATGGGCACAATCTAATTTATAACAAAATGCTACAAAGTAGCAAATTGAGACAAATCTCCACATATAGAGAGGAAAGAGACTTACCTCTCCACAACCCTTACTGACACCGGAAGAAGACGATCCACCCTGCTGGAAAAAAAAATCCCAACAATTTATTTTCATTGTAGAAATAATGTTTCAAGCAGGGTTCTGTCTGAAGGAGTGAAGCACCAGACGATAGTAAGTTCTCCAACTTACCTCCCTTTATCTTGCCATCCTACACTATGGAAAGATTTACCTTTCAAAATGAAAGTGAAGAAGGTACTTATACATTTAGGGCCTGATCCAATGTCCATTGAAGTCAATGGAAAGACTGACTGCAATGGGGTTTGGACCTGGGTTACAATTTTCAGAAGCACTTGAGTGACTTAGGAAACTAATTCCCATTTTCAAAAGAGACTCAGGTTACTTTAGGAGCTTAAATCCCATTGACTTTCAATGAGATTTAGGCTCTTAAGTGTCTAAATAAGTCTTGAAAATGTGAGTCAGGGTCCTAAGTCACTCAGATGACTGAAAATTCCACTCCTGGCCCTTATTTGTGAATACACTGAAAACAGATGTTACACAAGCTGCCATTGCAGAAGAGTATAGAGGGTACTGGGGACACTGTCCCAGTGAAGCATGCAAGTCCACATATATAGAGTGTATGTTAGAGAGAGCGAGAGAGAGTGCACACATGACTAAATACAAATTGCAAACACAGCAAATCTAAGTCATAGAATCATAGAATATCAGGGTTGGAAGGGACCTCAGAAGGTCATCTAGTCCAAGCCCCTGCTCAAAGCAGGACCAATACCCAATTTTTGCCCCAGATCCCTAAATGGTCCCCTCAAGGATTGAACTCACAACCCTAGGTTTAGGAGGCCAATGCTCTAAACTACTGAGCTATCACTCTCCCCCACCCCCAGAAGCCTGCTACAGATTTGTGGTCTTTGTAATTCGTAGTTAGTAGCAAGGTGTTCTCCACCACCACTCCTCTGGCACATGTGTAGTTAAGGTCTAACCAAAGGTGAAGCCAACACTGATTTTCAGTGGGGTTTGGGATACTGGATTCACTTCCCAAGTCACAAGCTGCAGTGACTATAGTGTGTCACTAAAGTGTTCATATCTTACTGACACATGTTAAACCCTGCGGGGGACTAAAATGTACCTGGTTCTTATTGATGTAGTCTCCTTTCAATGAGGACTATGTTAACATGCTCTAAGTACCCTTTAGAGCAGTGGTTCTCAGCCCATGGTCCATGGGCCGTTTGTGGCCCTATCAGCACACAGCTGCAGTCCATGTGACATCCTCAGGGCAATACCATATATATATGTAGATAGTATGTATATATTATGTGGATGCAGACCACATAACACACAGAGAGCTGCAAAGCGGCCCACAATGGTAAATAGGTTGAGAACCACTGATCTAGAGTATGCCAGCAGGACCAACGTGGAGAAGTTAGCTTGCAACAGTTTTAGAGCACTCTTCAGTTAACTCCCCTCCAGTCCACATACACACTTCAGGGACCAGCTTCACATGCCCTGGTAGGTTATTCATGGGATCAGCCTTTTTTTTTTTCTTCTGCTCTGCACCACTTGCTCCAAAGCTCACCCTGCTCTTCTGGTGAAAATGCACTGCTAGGATCTTTGAATGCCGTTCAGCAGGAAGAAACAAGAAGCCAAGGAAGTCATGTTTGATACAGACAAATAAGGCCAAATTCTACGCTGATATAAATTGTCATAGCACTAGTAACTTCAATAGAGTGGTGCCAATTTAACCCAGTAGAGAATTTAGCCCACAGATTTTGACATAATTTCAGGGCACTAGTGAAGAAACATGCAGTGTCTTGCCTATATTGTGACAATTCTAGTTTGGACTCATTGCAAACAGCATTTCTGCATTCTGTATCCCCTGCCATCAGCCCTCTCTCTCTCTCTTTATTAACCTACAGTAATTTAACCCTGCAACAACAAATTATGCCAACACTAGAGAACATAATCCAAACAGTAGGGAAGCAATTGATTACTCAGAAGATAACTAAGAGCAGAGGAGAAAAGATAGCTTACTTGGCTGCTCTGTGAGAATATTTGGCTGCCCTGTGAAATAGTGGACTGCCCCGGTGAAGGAAGCAGAAGCCATTTATTTCATTGTAAAAAAAAAAAAAAAAGCATATTTGAATACTGTACTATTAGTGTAAGGGACGTCTGTTGGTATTTCTTACTTGTGAGATGAAAGGAACAGGTGGAGAACACTGTATTAGTGATCTTTGATGCCACTCCACTGATTTAATATGGGACCTGCAGAAGCTAAAGTGATGTTATGTTGTGTTTTGAGCACACAGAGACAGTTTTGATTTTCAGATAGAAGAGCACTGTTCGTTTAAAATTGTATTAATAAGTCCATGTGAATATATGGAGTCTGTGTAGTTAAGTGCACCTGAGCCTTAAATGAGATATGAGGTATCCATGATCCCATCAATGGAATGACCATCCTTTAGATGCTGGTCTGAGCTAGTAAGTTTTCTTATGAGTGCTCTCAACTACTGCAAGCAACATTCAGGGTAAAAAATTGAGAAAAATAAATATGGTTTACCTGACTTTGTGAGGAGGACTGATTTCTCTAAAGAAGCCAATTATTTCTTTGTGAAAAGATAAACCACATGATCTCATCCGTACAACATTTAAGAAAGAATCTAACTATGAATGATTCTTGGCATTTGAATAACAGAGTACAGGACTAGAATTGCAAAAGGGTTGGAAAATATATGACAGTTTCCCTAAGCAATAGTGACCCTAATGAAAATAGGTGTGTTTCCTTTTTAAAATGTGCTTGTCTGAAATTCATTTGGGAAAAACTGGGAGAGGCCAAAAAGAAGAAAGAAAAAGAAATAGAGGAAGTGGAAACTGTTCCAGAATTATTCAATAATAAACATAAAGTTAGGAGTAAAGAGAGGAGTAAAAAGAGGACAGCCTGAATAAGCAGAGATGTGAAAAATGGTTCCTTGGTTTTTAAATTAATTATATGAACCTCAGCAACTTGAATACATATCTAAGTTAAGTTTAAATTAACAATGTTAGACAGAAACGGTGGAGGTCCTAGCTGTTATTGATCTGTATATATTGAATTCTGAGACAAGCAAATCACCATAAAAGGATTTATGCACTGCATGGATACATCTGCTAACTAATGTAGAGTTGATTGTCAGTAATTACACAGCATCCTTCTGCTCTTGTTTAAGAATAACACAAATAATTGCAGTCAACCCAATGGCTCTTTATTTGACTTTGGACCATTTGTGTTGGCTCTCCACAAACGCACATGCTTTGCTAGAATATTCACAGAAAGCAAATCTGATTGCTGTAGTTGTAAAAAAAAATTATTATTTTTTTTTTTTATTCTTTACAGCTCTCCCACCACCAATGATACCAATATACCAAATCTCTGTTTTAAGATTTTGGCTGCTTAGAAGCTTTCCATGCTTAAAAGCAAAACAAAACAAAAAACACAAAAAAAGCCTATAGAATGGATATAAAAGTACATACGTGGCCATTGGTTTTGCTGATCTGTGGGGTAGAAGATTGACTCTGTAAAGAAACGATAAATCAGTAATTTTGCTGTGAAAAGGCTTTGATTACATGCCATACTGTCTCAGTAAAAGAAACTCATCTGTATTTATCTGGATGGTGGAAGGAATATACAGAGAAGGGTACAAGCTTTGCCTCTGTTCCATTAGGCTACATTATGGAAAGTTGAGAGTATACTCCTGTGAAAGGGTCATATCTGGTGAAAGAGCACCATTTACTGAATGGTACTCAAATCTCCTCCAGAGTTGCTTTGAATCTATACAGAGACATAGAAGAGGCAAATTCTAATGAACACTGATGTATCCAGGTGTGTGTACATTCAATGATCATCCTTTAGGTGTCAATCTGAGCTAATAGCATCTCCTAGGAAAATCAGTCAAATGTATATACACAGGTTATTTAACTACAGAGGAATCTGAAGTGTTTTGCCAGAATATTAACCTGATGAGAGTTTTGCTTGAGTTAACAGTGTTGGATAAGCCCCTATTTTACTTTTCACCATTAATAGGGAGCAGTGAAGACACATTCTGTCTCATAAAGCTTCCCACACTTCTCCAGTGCAGTGGCGAGGTGCAAACTGCTACACCCCTTTAAAGGGGTACATCATACACATGTCCCACCATGGGGAGGGCAGAGCCATGGTCAACTTATGCCCCTTCCTATCTGCCCCTTCAGGGTACAGTGTTCCCCTTTGTGAAGGGGCTGCAATTCTGGTAATTCTTTCTGCGGTAATTCTTCAAAACTCTTTCCCTCTCCCCCATGCCTGTGTAAGGACCATCCAGAATCTAGCTCTACATCTCTGGTTACCGTAAGAGGCACATCAGGACAAATCTTTAAACACAGTGTAAGATTGTGCTTACCAGTTTACAGATAATGATGTTGTAGGAGGAGGAACTCTGTAAAGAAACCCAACAACAGTTACTTCCGTGTAAGCAGGGTTGTTTGAATATAACTGTATCTCAGCAAAAGAAATGATTTGTATTTATCTACTCAGTGAGGGGAGAGCCTGCAGAGAGTTGCCTAGTCCTTATTTTGCCCCTACTGATCACCA